ATAGGTGCACCTACAAAAATACTTAGAACTCGTTGGGCTACAAAGCGTGTGTAGAGATCTAATAAAGATCCCATCATTTTTTAGATCACATACCAAGGAATGCACAACCGTGCTCATGGAAACCAACCAGTTCCATCACCATCATCACCGGAAAAACAATAAAAAAAACAAAACAAAAGATAACAAATAATTAACAACTATCAACAACAACGATAATCACAACGAAGCCCTTTTTAACTTCCAAAATAGCCTAAGGGTTAATACCGAGGACCTAACCAATAAAGAGATGGTCTCTCCCTTCTCTTTTCAATAGTTATTGAGATGCAAAAAAAGCTTAAACGAGTTATTGACGTCACTTTACAACATAACAAAATCCACATGTATAATTGAGATGCTTACTTGGTTTTTTTCTAAGCTTGTTGATGATGATGAGATGGAAGCACCAATAATGGAGAAGGTCTCTTCTATTTTGACAATGAGGATAGTAGAGATCGTTTCTCAATCAATTTGTATAACTAGAGTTATAAGAATATATGAGGGTTATATAGTCATATTTAAAAAATTTTAAAAATCTTTCAATTGAGCATGTTAATCAAAATGTTTTAAATTAAAAATTTTAACTTACCTAATTAAGTGGATTTTGACTGAATTTAAATTTGAAATATGAGATTATTTAGATTATCAAATAAAATTTTTATATTAATTATTACAACTTAATTTTTTAACTTACTTAAATAAGTTATCAAACACACTTTTAATATCAGATTCTAGATTCTACAAAGAGCTCATCGTTTTTCCAATACCCTACCACATTTCGGATTCCCATAAAAAATACAGAACTAAATTTTTTTATAACCCAAACCCCATCATTTATCACCCAAATGTCAAGAAATTTTTCAACCTAATCAACAATAAAAAAACGCTATTAAGTCATGGCATGATGCAAGTATCTCAAACTTTAGGCTGTCATAATCTGGTTCTTGTATCTCTTCTGGTATTGATATCTCTTGAAACTCTTCAGTAGCCATGTCAAAGGAAACAATCACTTGAGGTATTTCAAAAGAGTACATTTTCCTCGCATCTCTTGACTTATTACCTGATTTTGCATATGATGCCAACCAATAATAAATTCCATTCATATACATATAACATCTACTACCTCTCAAAAAATAATCCGGTGCCAAATCTCCCCAGTATCTCCAAGAATAAGTCCCTATCGTATATACAGTGACCTGTGAAGGAAGGCAAGTTTCACATCTTTCTCTATCACGAAGATAACGAATAACAACCACTTTGTAATCATTTGTTACTGAATCTCATCCGAAACCAGACATGATAGCTATACTCTGCTTTGGATGGAAGATTGGATTTTGCTAGTTTTGCTGGTAGAAGCTTGAATTCTGTAGTTGCGGGGTTCCAAAGACCACAATCACGAAGAACAAAACTTGATTCTACATAATATATTCTGTTACAAGGTCCATCAATTATTGATTGTGGGTTGGTAAATCAAGTGTTTGATGTGTTAAATCTTCAAATGTTTCATCGAGTAACAACCCACACCATTCAGTTGTGTCGAATATACTCCTAGTAAGCAAGGAGAGAACCATTAATGTTGTTGTTGTTCAGGTACTTGAAAATGAAATCAGAACTAATAATAATTTCACTCCATGATTTGCAAATGCACCTGAATTATGGTAAAGATTTTACAGGTAGCCATGAGAGAATCTCAATCATTAGGTCTTCAAGTAATAGGTCTCCATTCTCTGTACCCATTCTTGCTAATCTATCTATATTCTTTTCACTTCTGAAATTTGAAAGAAAAATAAACAAATTAATCAATATATCGAGCAAAAACACAATATGAAATACTCCCTGTCGCCAAAAGTTAAAGTCAAAATAATATGAAAACTTGTAAAATCATAAGGAAACAAGATAAAAAATAGGAGTGAAGGCTTACAAAATTGTCTATCAACAAGATAGATGAACATGAAATGAAAGATCTCCTTCAATAATTGAATTTTCCTGAGATATGTATCAAATATAAACAATTACTTTTTTTTTTTTTTTTGCAATCCTCGGAGATGGTGATGTAGATCAAATATAAAATATGAAAAGGGATGTATATATGGTGTAATAATGATAGATGAGATTGAGAAGGAATTTGGGGTATGAGAGAGAGAGAGAGAGAGAGAGGGTCGTTTGGGTGGAGATGTGGTGGTGCATGGTGGCAGAAACTTGAGAGTTGGGCTTAAAAAAATAGAGGATTTCTTTTGGTGATTGAAATTTTCTGAATTTAAGTTTATTTCTTTGAAATGATTCAATTTATAGGAACACGTTTACCTTTGGACCTATGGGTTTTTTTTCCCAGAAATGAAATCATTACCATTTATATTAATTGCGTCCATAGATTTTCATTACTTCATTTTCTTTTACGTGGGAATAAAAACTAGGGTACAACCATTACAATATATTGCATCCACAATTTCCTTTACTTCATTTTCATTTGTGTGGGAATAAAAAACGAGGGTACAACCATTACTATTACCATTACCATAAATTGCAGATTTCCACTTTCTTTTCTGTGGAATAAATATAGGGACATTTTAAAATGTCAAAGACGTACGAGTTAAGGCAAGGAAATTTTGAGACGTTTGAGACCATAATTGGTAATTAAGATATAATCCGACATGTGTACAATTGAAAACTGAAATTGTAATGTATTCATTATATTATCGATATATATGGTCACTAATATATTTATGGTAAACCGGGAAAGAGAAGTTGCAGCTTGGCCGTTGCTTTTCATTAATTATTTTAAAGAGACATATACGGATGATCAAACTAAGGAATTGAGATACTTGAAACCCAGTACTCAACCTTTTTTTAGTGTTATTTAAACATAGGGTTGCCACCAAATTTAATGTTGTTTACAGATAGGATTGAAATTAAATTTAAACAAAAATGCTATTCTTTGCCAAATTTAATCTGATTTAAACATAGTGGTTTCTTCTTTTATCTGAATCTACAATTATTATCTATATTAATGCTACTTTTGGCAGTTTCAAATTGTGTGATTATAATTGTTCCTACGTAGGATAGGATAAGTCATGAAACAAATAGAAGGAAAATTAGTAGAATTGGTAAACCAAACGTATCCCCATTTTAGAAGAGGAACAATTCTGGCAAATATAATTGATAACTGGCGAGGGTATGTTTATTTATTTATTTCTTTATTTGTAAATGGTAGGAGCACAAGTTTCATTAATCTTTTTTTTTTTTTTCAACTGAAATAATTTGATGGCTGCATATCAATTCATTGTTGATGTAATTCTCAGGTTAGAAGAAGAAGAAGAAGAGAAAGAGAATTATTATGAATGGAATTTCAAATTTTAATAGTTGTGAAAATTACAAGTATCCGAGAATTAATGTATCATCACAAAATAGTATACTATCATGCATTGGAACAAGTTATATGCGTAAAGCTTGAAATGCAATTGCCAAGAGGACCTTATCTAACTTGAGCCCACATCATCATGTACCTTGCAAAATTGACGATTAGGACAAGTGACATAATAATAATTTTATTTTTTTATTTTTTTAATTGATTGATTTGACATGATAAGTTTTAATTAAGTAGCTTTCATTTATTTACTTATGGTAAATTGGAACCAAAGGCAGAAAAATATGGCATATGTATATATTATACTTATGGTGAGAAACTTGTAGTGGAAATAAAAAGCTCTTTATTATAATTATTACATAATCAAAGAGCATATGTATATATTATAAATCAAACAGCAATTTGTATTTTGTAATGCACAACTGTTATTGTCCGAGTACAGTTAATAATTATTCAAATTATCATTATAATTAAGCTCTTTCAAGTTTTCAACGCATGGATACAAATTTTATGGCCCCCTTTCCACAGTTGTCCCTACTCATGTTATTTTGCTGAAAACATGGAATGGTATTAATCCTGTCAGTGCAAACAGTGATTTCGTGGAGATTCCTGGTTCCGTTCTTGTTGATGTAGCTCATGGCAAAGGCAGTGGTGCCTATTTTATTTTTTTATTGCATTCTCGAAAGCCAACCATTGGTAGACGGCACCAGCAACCACCCTATGGGCTCTTAAAGCTTGAAAAATGTCAATTTTGTTCTTCAAAGATAAAGCTTCTTTGAGGTAAATTTTGGATATGTATTTGGAACAACTGCCATGAGCTTTGAACTCATAACTCCAGAATCCTATTCGGGCAGACTTGTCATCAATTGGGGCTTGCAGGTTGGGCCATTTACTTCTCATTTCCTTGTAAAATTCTAGGTCATTATGAAACTGCACGCATGCACAATAGGAAACCAAAGTTGCGTTGGAAAATTGTAACGCTAAAACGAAGAAAGCACAATACAGTAACTATATATTACACTAACAGACATGAGAATGAGTTACCAAATAGCCAATACTCGGAAGTATTCTGATAGTTTGTCAAAGTGTAACCGTTCTTATGCCTTTTCCATGAGCTGCATCAACAAGAATGGAACCAAGATTCTCTATGAAATAAATAACTGTTTGTACTGATAGGACTAGTGTCATTCCATGTTCTCAACGAAATGACATGAGCTGGGACAACTATGGAAAGGGGGCCATAAAATTTCCATTCGCCGTAGAAACTTCGAAGAGCTTAATTATAATGATAATTTGTATAATTATTGATTGTACTTGGGCAGCACCAGTTGAGCACTACAAAATACAGATTGTTGTTATATAAATATATGGTCTTTGATTATGCAATAATAATAAAGAGCTTTATTCTCAATCCTATTTGAGCAGACTCGTCATCACTTGGGGCTTGCAGGTTGGGACATTTACTTCTCATTTCCTTGTAAAATTATACATCATTACGAAACTGCACGCATGCACAATAGGAAACCAAAGTTTTGTTGGAAAATTATGGCACTAAAACGGAGAAAGCATAAGAACGTAACTATATATTAAAATAACAAACATGAGATCGAATGAATTACCACATAGCCAATACTCGAAGAATTCTGACAGTTTGTCAAAGTGTAACCGTTCTTATCGACAGGCCACCAACCATGAAGAGTTAGCATGTCTGCTGGGAGCGGAAAAAATTTACAATCTGTTTTGAACTTTGAGCAAAAGCCCTTAGGCCATGTGCGGACAAGCCAAAAATGATCGTGAGAAGGAGCTGGTGGAAGAGGAGGGGGAGATCTAGATTTCGGTTCTGCGTGGGAAAGGAACAAAGCACCAAGGCAGACAAGAAGAAAACATGCCATGTTTTTACTGAAAATGAAGGTTTGTGTAACTAGTTGAGAACGAGAATAATGAAGGCAGGTGATCTGATATTTGTAGACGTTATTGTTGTATTTGCTGTCCAATTTCTAGTTTTTTTATTATATATATATGGAAGTTATTCCCACTCATAGTTTTGTAATTCCACTCCTTAATCTATTTTTATCCCTAATTAGATTTTCATAAACCATGATAATTATATTTTTCATAAATGATGATACTAAATGTTGGTGTTACATTTATATCTAGAAAATGCAGCTAAAAATACAAAACCATATTCTTTGAAATTAGGATTATTCAATTTTTATTTTTATTTTTATCATTATGTACCACCAAAATTAATTTGTTTGAAAAATATTTTGTTCATGCTCCATTTTATTTATTGTTAAATTTTGTTTTTTTGTATTTCCAAATATTGAGTTAATCACAAATTCAACATACCAACTTATTAATTTTTTTCTAATCAAGTGTGTATTTTTTAATCTTTATGAATTGAGTGACCCAATTTGCAAAAATGGTCTAATCAAGTGTCTTCGGTTACTTTTTGCCCATATTTCCCCTTTTTGCCTACGTGGATGTTACATTTACACATCATAATGATATGCCAACCACATGTGAGAGACGTGGCTGCCACATGTAAAACACATGAAAAATAAAAATAAAAAAAGAAAAGAAACTGGAGATCTTTAGGAGGGGAAACTGTCATATCAAAAAACAAAAATCAACTCTCTCTCTCTCTCTCTCTCTCTCTCTCTCTCACACACACACACACACATCTATTCTTACTTACTAAATTGTCAACTTAGAGTTAGATCATAAAGGGAAAACACAAGTTAAGGACAAAAAGGAGCTGAATAACTTGATAAAAAAATTATTATAATGGTACATTAAGAGGATTGATTGGATTTATCGACTTAGTAGAGTACTTGCAATGAAGGAAGTCGGGTAAGAATCAAAAGTATTTTGTTTGACAATCTTTTTATATTTTTTATTCATCGACTTTATGGGTGTTGTAAGATTTCATCATTGTGTGGGTTGGGTGTTGTTCTCGGGGTGTTTGTGAAGGGTGATATATGGGGTATTATGTCTACAAAATATGTGTTTTCGTTTGCATTATGTGTTTGTGTGTGTGTTATCATTATCTCGTATTTGTTGTCCGTGCTTGATTAGGTAAGCATGAGTTTTTTTTCTTATTTGTTTATGTCTATTGTCCTAAAAGTGATCCTAAATGTGTACTCGTATATGCTTGCAGGATGTATAATGGTAAAGTTGATTTTTTTTTTATGAGGGTTCTTTAATACATTTTTCAACAATGATTTATGCTGGTGGTAGAAAGGTATTAAAAAGACATTGTTGATGTTAATAACTTATGTTATCGAAATCTAAAAATAAAGTGGCCTTAAGAAGTTAGATTGGAAAATGTGCATAGGGTTTGGTGTAGGATCCCCGGACTCGCCTTTGCCAAGAGGTTTGAAACTAGTAAATGTAGATATAGATTTAGTTGAAATGGGTGGGATAATTGACCAATATGATTTTGTGTAAGTGTTTGTTGAACATTATAGTTTTCGTCATTTTAGGCTTAAAAATGTTTCTAGTTGGGAGGTCGTTAATGAACTGGTTTTAGGAGAGAATGAGTTCTTTAAAGCTGGAGAAGAAGAAGAGGATGATGTTCCTAGTGTAAATTCTTGTGGAGAAAAAGATGATGGGGGGTTTAAACATATATGAAAATATAGAGACAATACAAATAAACTCTTGTAGTGACGGAAGAGATAATGTAAATAAGGATAAGGTTGATGACCATAATGAGGATAGGGTTGACGGTATGGATGATGACTTTAATAAGGATAGAATTAACAATGTATGTGATGACTTAAATGATGATAGGGTTGATAATGTGGATGAGGTTAGGATGGATGATGATGTTCTTAATGAGGATATGCTGGATAATGTTGATAGTTTGGATCATACTCGTGGTGGATGAAGATAGAGTTGAAAGTGTTGACAATGTGGATGAGATTATGGTGAAAAATTTTCCTATTAAACTAAATAAACATGGTCATGGTGTTGATGGATATGCTTGTGATGGAAATAAAGATGAAAAAGAAGTATTGTTGTATGTTAGGTTTTGTAATGATGATGATGAAAAAGAGTTACAACACTCTATACAACAACCGAAAGCATTGAGAACTAAGAATTTTAGGGCATGACAGTTGAACCAAAAGGTCAAAACATGAGATGGGATTTCTATTGATGGAATTCATGTTGAAGTTCAACATATTAAGGGGTATGGCATAGATTACATTAAGTCTAGTGAACATAACGAGTTATGCTAATAATGAAGAAAAAGTAGAAAGTGCACAAAAAAGAAGGAGCAGATTTACGAGATTTGACCCAAACAATCCTATCCCAAAATTTAAACTCAATGTGGTATTTAGGTATCCTAAAAGGTTCAAGGACGCCATTAACAAATATGCAATCCATGAAAAACGTAACGCCCCTTTCCTAAGACCTAGATAGTTCAAAGGTATTATCGACATTGACTTACATTCAATGTGCAATGAATGTAAGCCAATAAGCCTCCTCTCTTTAACATTTTAGTTCATCGGTGGGAGTGGGCATTTACTACATTAGGTCCCTATGGAGTATGGGGCACTAGGTCTTTTTAAATCGAATTTGGGTATAAATTTTTGCTCTTTAACCTTACATGCGATTAAGCCTACATTAGTTTCTCTTAAGCCATTTCTAGCTTCATTTAAACTTCTTCTAATAATTTAGCCATTCCATGTTCTTTTAGTCTTGACCTTGACATTCCTACCTAATTCTTTACGTGTCATTTTGATTTACGGTCATTTTCATAATCCTATCAATTATACCATCCTAGTCATATTAGTCATTTAAGCACCCATAAGCTACAACTAGCAAAATTGATATAATAACAACTTAATTTTCAATGAACATTTTCATTTACCCTAAAAGAATATTTGTTTAATTTATCTATATTTATACCAAAAATGCCTAACTTGCTATATATATATATCAAAAAATCAAGCCAAGCCATACATTATTTCTCATACTCACTAAGCCAAAGCCAAAGCACATAAAATGGCAAGTCCATCATTTGTCTCGATGATGACCCTTCACTTATCTTTTTCAGTTCCGACACCATAAGAAACAAATGGTGAGCAATGTAAAGCTTAGTAAGTATAATCGATGCAATGCATATGATGTCCTTGATGCATAAATGTACATGATGCATCTTTCATAAAATCTTTTTCATGCCTTTGAAACCATTTTCCTTTTCTCTTTTCAAGTGCACCTTTTCCTTTATCATTTCTTCGGTTGGGGCCTTCACCAAATCCTCCAATCGTTGAGGCCTTTATCGAATCCCTCGATGAAGAAATGTCTTTACGACATTCTTTAGTTGGTGCCTTTACCCAATTCCCTAACTTCGAGGCCTTTATCGAATCCTTTGATGAAGAAGTAGGCTAATTTCTTTAGTTTAGGCCTTCACCAAATCCCCCAACTCGTCAATGTCTTTATCAAATCCCTCGATGAAGAAATGGCATTTTCATGAAAACAATGAAAATTATGAAAACCTTTTTTTTTTTTCTTTCATGAAAACCTTTTCTTTTTCTTTTTCTTTCATCAAAATCATGAATATAAAATCCTATTTCATGATAATGATGTACATGAGCATATGCATTTGAATGAAATATATTACAATAAACATGACTCGAACATGCATACCATTACATCATCAAGAATATGTATAAACATTATAAATCATTCAAATGTTCCAAATAATTAAGTATGCATGCATCATGAAACATACCTTGCACATTCCATAAAAAAATGAATATCATCTTAAACCAAACAAACAAGCATCATAATCAATCAATCTAACATCATAAACAATCCATTTTTCATAAAAATGTGACCTTTTTTATACCATTTATACCTCTAAACCTCACATTAAGCCTTTACCTCATATTTACTTCTCTTGTCCTTTGTTCCCATGCTTGGCCAAATTAGGCCAAAAGAAGAGACAACTATCATGTCTTTTAATATCTAGCTTCATGAATGTGTTTGAGGTATTTCATCAAACACAATATAGGCATTAGATAAAGTAGCCACCAAATTATATATACTTATGGTTTGTTCATCCACTTTGTTCATAAAACAAGGACACATCAAAACATGAATAGTCATGTCATTCAAACAATGTAACATATTGTCCTCACGTAATACACCTAAAATCATCATCAAACCATTACAAGTTAATCATGATCACAAAATCTTCAAAAACATTCTTATTAGCCCTTCATCATATAAACTATGAATTAACACTAAATCACATTTCAAATATCTAATTCTTATGTTTTAGGTGAGGAACTATACTTACCTCACTTAGAATTTTAGTTTTTCTTCTTCTTCTTTTCCTCCTTGGCTCATTTCTTCCTCTTCCTTCCCAAATTTCGACCAAATTGGAGAAATTCTTCCTTTCTCCTTACTTGATCTATTAAGATGGTTTGGAGGCTAATTTAAAGTGTTTCTAAGTGGATTAAAGTGATTAAGAATAGTGGATTTGGATGGGTGAAATCTCTCTCTCTCTATTTTGCCTTAGATTTTCTCTTATTCTTCTCTCCTTTTTTCTTTTTCCCTTTTCTTTATCTCTCCCCATTTTTCTCTCTTTAAAATATGAAAATCCAGATTTTTCTACCATTTTTATCCCGTAGATTCAACTAAGAGGTCCCTCACATTATAGAAACTTTATATCTTAGTCCTCCAACTTTCAATCCTTGTAATTTGACTATAAAATTTCAATCCATAACTTCACATATTTCATCAATTTGGCCCTCATCTAGGCCAATCTTAAAGTTATTCAAATCCATAGGGTTTCATAATCATTCATGTAAGGTCGTTGACACTTAATCTTTATGATTATACCTTTATATTTTATAATTACACCCTTATGGCAATGCATAACCATATCAATTAAGGGGTACCATTGCCTAATTCAACCTTTCCTCATTCCATACGCTTATTATATTAATTTTACTTATGTTTCTTTTATCCTTAATTGAATTTCAAATTCTAATCATTAAATAAATAAACTTCTTTATTAATTAACAAAATTATCCATGCATCACATTTACATTTTTAGGAGGATTTTAAGTCATGGATATTACAAAAGATATGATATTAAGTATCATAGAAATATTAGAGATGAAATCGACCAAACGCAGGAAAAAAAAAAAAAAAGCTTTCCATGGCATATATATGTTTCATATGACAATGTCACTAAAGTTTTTCTAGTTCAAACATTTTTGCTAGAACACGGATGCAACCCAGTGTTTAGAAACACAAGAATGACTAGCTCTTGGCTTGCTAAAAACTATTTTGAGAGCCATGGCGAGGATGAAGCTTAAAGATCTAAAAAGATTGGTTATAGAGAATTTTAATTGTGAAATGACCCTAATAAAAATTAGAAGGGCAAGAGATAAAGTGTTTGATATACTAAAAGGTGACTACAAAAAAAGAATATGCACTACTTCATTATTATGTTAAAGAATTCATAGAAGTAAATGATGGGGCTACAACACTTGTGATTGATATAACTCCACCTCTCTAGCCTAACATGCTACCAAAATCTAATAGATTTTGTGTTGCTTTTGATTGTTGTAACAGAGGATTTCTAGCTAGATGTAGAAAATTTATAAGGATAGATGGTTGCTTTTTGAAAGGTTTAATCAAGGGATAGATCTTAGTTGTTATTGACGGAATGGAAACAACCAAATGTTTCCAATGGCATAGGCTATTGTTAATAGAGAGTTAGGGGATACATGGGATTGGTTCATAAACTTATTGATAAAGGATTGATAAAGGACCTAGAGATAGAGAACGATAAAACGAGTTGTGTTTGTATGATAGATCAACACAAGATAAAAAAAAATTAATTCATTTTCATATTTATGTATTTATACTTTAAATATTTTCTTACAAAATTTTTTTATTATGGTTTGTTTTCAATGGATTGGTTAGAGCTATTGCTGATTTATTTGTAAATTATGAGAAAAGATCATGTGCAAGACCCATATATACAAACTGAAGGAAAAAGCATGTTGGTGATAAATTATATGACTTATTTTGGGCATATGCCAAGTCGACTAATATGCTCGAATATGAGAAATAGTTGAACCAATTATTGACTTAAAATGTTGATGCTTGTAGAGATATCTTAAAGTACCATCCAAAATATTGATGACATGCATATTTCTCAACACAAACTATTTGTGATGTTATTAACACCAATTTGATGGAGGTTTTCATTAGGAGTATTATTGAAGTTAGGTGTGAATCAGTTCTAATAATGCTTGAGCAAATTAGGGTACAAGTTATAAGAAGATTGCACACCAATAGAGATATGATTGCTAAATAGATTAGAGATATTGGCTCAATGGTTATAAGAAAATTACATAAAATATCTAAAGAGTGTGCATACTAGTTTATATATTATTAGAATCAAGCATATGGTTATAAGATTAGAAAGAATAGAACTATTATAGAGAAGGGTATATGGTGGATCCGAATCGGATGACATGTTCTTGTAAGGCATGGCAACTTTTTAGAATACTACATTGCCATAAAATTTTGTCAAGTATTGATAGTAAAGTAGAAAAGCCTAAGGACTATGTCAATTACATGTGGAAAAAAGAGAATTATTTTGAGACATATCGGTTTATGATGTAGACAATCAATAATGCTCAATTCTAGCCTATGATAGATAAACATCCTACTCAACCACCACAATTCAAGAGGATTCGGGTAGGCCACGATAAAATAAATATAAAGAAGTTGGAGAAGAACCCAATGGGGCAATAAAACTGTCTAGGAATGGAAGAAAAATGGCTTATCATTTTTTTTATGAACAAGGTCACAATAAAGTCACACATTCTAAAAAACAACCCTCAATTTAAACCT